CTGGCTCCTTTTCCTTCTCCTTCTTCACGTCGTCAGTGAGCTACGTATAAGGAGAGAGATGACAGCTGTTATATAAATTAACATTAAAAGGTAATTCAACTTCTAGTCTAAATTATGAAGCTATTGCAGTCACCTTAAACGCTTCGAAGATCCTCTTGAAGAAGATGAAGTTTGGGTCATAGATCTCCGGCTCTTCAGTGACGTACTCGATCTCCACCTCTGGGTCTTTTCCTTTGTCTTTATCTTTGTCCTTCTCTTTCTCCTTCTCGCCGCCTTCCTTCTTCTGCTGCTGCTGCTGCTGATGTTCAGCTTGCTCCTTCTTTTCCAGCGCTCGCTTCTTCTTGCTCTTCTTTTTACGGTTCCTGCGTTTGCGGTTTTTCTAGTGAAAAGATTTATTTTGTAAAATTTCAAAAAAATGCTATTCAGAAGAGTAGATTGTGAAGGTTAAAAGACTCACATCTTTTTTAGACATCTGGCCATCGTCTTCCGTTTCAGACATCGCTTGAGCGGAGGAGTTGTCGGCATCCATCTCTCCATAATTGTCATCTTCCTCTGGAGCAACAGAGGGTATAGGATGACATTTAGATATTTTTAAAAAAGTTATGTATTCAAATGTTTCAAACCACATTAAATGTTGCCATAACTCCTAAATCCAACCAGGTTGTGGTGTAGTCTTTTCTTTATTTATGTATCTCCACCATGTATTTAGAGAACATAATTACTGAGAAAATATATAGATTTGTAATCAGGACTTGCTCATCTACCAGCAAGATTACAGCTTTCAATGCCTTCATTAAAAACAAACTCTCCAGATTTAATTGTTAATGTGACACACAGAAATATAATCCAGATTCAGCCACAATAACGTTTCATATGACAGATTAGACATAATATAAAGTTGTAATAGGAGAATAAAATAATTTGAGAATAAAGTTGAAATACAGAAATAGTCGTGTTACGAAAATGTAATAATATTATGACTTTATTCTTCATTATTACCGTAAAAAGATAGTCTCAAAAAACTACGATTTTGTTATTGCAACATTACAACTTTGTTCTTGCAATATTACGACTTATTCTTAAAAAAAAAATTTCTTAATACAGCCCTAATACTGTTGTACTTTGAATGCGTCACATCTTAGTTTTAGACAAATTATCCCTTTTGTTTTGAAATGTTTTGTAAAAATAAAAATGAAGGAACAAACATCCATCTGCTCAAGCATCATCATCATCATCCTAACCAACCAGCTTCCCTCAAACGCAGAAACAGCAACACAAGAGATTCTTTAGATCAAACAATCTATTCTCACCACGCAACCAACATCCATCCCAACTAAGGTTGCAATCATTTAATAGTTTAGTTTATTATCTATTACATAATTTCTGGATTCATCAATTAAGCAGATGAACCGGTGCTTTCTTCGTCTGTTGAAAATTTCTTCCATGATGGCAGAACAAAATGATTTCTAAATAATCCAAGGGTATGAATAATTTTTGAGCTTAACTGTAAATGTGGTCTGATCGGCTCAGAAGAGAACTTGATACTAGGCTTGAACAGTCACGGAAAAATCCAGAATCCGATGTATCGGACTTCCTTCAATGACCCAGATGTAGAAGAGTTGGATCCCAGATTTAAAAGATTTGAGCTGTAGCCACCAAGCCAATTATCCAGAAGGAATATCCGGCAAAAAGGATAAGAAAATCTCTTTAATCAGCGTTTCTCTTTCAGTAGCAGATAGCTGTGCTGACCTGGTGCGTCAGTGAGCTGCTCCTGTCTGATCTCCTTCAGCTGGAGGATCTTCTCCAGGACCTGGGGGATTTTAGGCCCGCCGACACTTATTTCCTCATTCTGCCAGGGCTGGAAGGGTTGAGATTCAGAGACTTTAATCAAGATAAAGATAAATCACAGACTCCACTTTCAAGCCAAATGAAAAGAGAAGTTTTTAGTTTTGATAACTTTTAGTGTAAAAAAAAGTAGTAATTTAAAGAAGAGGATATATAAAAATTAGCATCCAATAAAAAAAAAAAAAATCTAAAGGAATGCCTTTTTAGCAAACAAAGGATTCATTTAGACCCACACTTGATATAAAAGCTTTTGAATGTGTTGTAAAAAAAAAACCTCATAGAGGAGGACAAGATGTGTTTACCTCCTTGTTATCTTCTCCTGGAGGAGGTGGCACCCTCTGCTTCTGCGGGGGCAGCATGGTGACACCAGGAGGAAGTGGACCTCGAGGATCCAAGACTGAAACTTCACACAGAAATCACAAGGAAACATTCAAACACGATCATTTCTTTCTGGACTTTGAGACGGCGTCTTACAAAACTATGCACACCTCAAAATGTATTTTTTTTATTTTAACCTAAATAGGGACATTTTATGTCAAACAGTTTCATTGGAATTTTTTTAAAAGTGCAAAATTGAGAAATGGAAGAAACATTAGACCAGATTTTTTATCTTTTATTAACACAATTTTTTTCTTTTTTACAGAGACACATTTCACTGCATCGCAGCAATATTTGGGAGGTATGTCTATTAGCTATGCACAAGATAAGACAAAAATGTTTTGCTATTCTTTTGAAAATAACTCAATCTCCCTCAAACTGGACAGGGAGCATCTGTAAACACACATTTTTCAAATCTTTACACAGATTCCCAACTGGAAGCAATTTTTATTTAACTAAAAAGGTTTGAAACAAACCTGTGGGCAGGGATCTCGTCTGCATCTTGACCATCTCCTGCTGCCGCTCCTGCTCCAACATCACTGCAGCCTGACACCGGACGAGAGAAAAACAGAGAGAGGAAAAACAGCAAATGAAGAAGTGCACGTGATCGTAGCAGATTTGAAACGGTTACATCATGTCTGGTGTTCTGAAAGGTTCCAGTGGGCTACAAACGGTCGGTAAAGTTCACCTGCTGCTTGGCCCGTTCCTCCTGCTGTAGAACCATGGCTGCTCTCTGCTGAGCCATCTTCAGCTGGTCGTCCTGGGACAGGCCCGGAGGCGGCAGGGGAGCGTGCTCCATGCCCATGGGGATGCCGGGCGGACGGGGGGCTCCAGGGGGCATCATGGGCAGAGGCTGGAGCATGCTCATGCCTGGAGGCATTGGTGGCATGGGCATGGGGGGCATGGGTGGAATCGCAGACATCTGAAAGGAGGAAAGATAGGGAAAATTAGAAAAATGCATTTATTATATAGAAGCTGCTTGATTATTTTTAAAATATGGCTTTTTTTTAAAAGTAGATAAGCAGCCCTGTAACTGAAAATGCTAAACAGGCCTGAAGCGATTAATCAAATGAATTATGGTCAATATCAGACCAAACTGTGTTTTACAGTGAACAGATAGTCAGTTAACAGGATGTACACAAAGACAAAATCATTGCTGTCAAATCCTGGATATTTTGAACATGTAGCACGTTTCCAACCCATCATAGCCAAATAAATGAACCATCACATTCCCTCATAATGCCTCTGTGACCTGTGAAGGACTCACCTGAGAGGCCATTTTGTCATCATTTGGTTTTGTAAGGATGATTCCAGTCTGCAGATTCAAACAAGCACAGCAAATAACTTATTTGTCATTGGTTATTTGACACCAAATGACTAAATGAAGAGGAGAATTTAAATTTGTGTTGCAACAAACCCCACAAAACAACTAGAGGCCATTATTTCTTGTTTATAGATTGATGGTTTGCTCACCTGGATCATGTAACCTTTCAGCCTGTCAATGAGCTCCTCCCGAGGACCTGGACGAGAGAAAATATATATTAATCTTAACATTATCCACCAGATAACGTTTATGTTACGAAGAAATAAATAATCATGACAAAAACCGCGTGACTAATCCATTCAACAGCTACTCCTGAAAGTTAGCAAATGCGCAAAAATTAAGGTAGATGCTTCACTAAAAACTATCATGTTGGCTCATCTTGTACATTAACCATCCCAAATTGGGTCGGGAAAATTATATATACGCTAACTACTGCGAATAATGCGTTCGAGTTGATGTAAACACTCCACAGGCCCGGAGGAAGCCCTCCTCAACGGCAGCACGGCGTCTCAGCCGTGCTCGCTGCGGCCAGCAACTGGCTAGCCAGAAATTAGCTAAACACGCTTCCGATAAAGCTCTATCTCCGCGTCTTTCTCACCCATGTTCGGTGCTCCGAGCTCGGCCAGCTTGGCCTGGAGGTCCGGGTTGCTCCATGTATTCAAAGCCGCGATGGCATTCCCCAATTCAGACGGGAGAGCCTCCGCGACCGGTGTTCCGTCGGATGCCATGTTGAGCTTCTCTCAATGGAACAACGGCGGCAGCTGAGATAACGCGAGAACTCGAGAGAAGCTCGCTGGGACGTGGAGTTCGGAAACGATGGGTGACGTATAATCTCAAGCCTCTAGATGTCAGTGTGGCGATGACATGCGCATACTTTCAGCTTCAGATTTTTAAGCAAACACTTTCGGGTATCCATTTTTGATTTGTTTTATACCTGGAATGTTTGTTGCTGAAAATTTCACATCCAGAAACATTTATTATTATTATTATTATTATTATTATTATTATTATTATTATTATTATTATTATTATTATTATTATTATTATTATTATTATTATTATTATTATTATTATTATTATTATTATCATCCATTTGCTTTTACTTAGGCTTATTGTAGGCCACTTATTTGGGTGGTACATACCAGAAAACAACAGAAAAGCAACTAATAATAAAATAAAATAAAAAAAAGTAGAAACAAAATAGGGGTTGTTTACAAATATCAAAATGGGTTTATTTCGCAGTGTTTTATCTATTCATACAGTCGACTGCCTTATTTTCAATAAAACAAACAGAATAAAGAAGCGAACCAGAACATTGAGGCTGTTATCCATCTGGCTTTGTGGAAGTGAATTCCTTTGAGCTGTTTTATGAGCGCGCAGTGCGCAGGCGCAGTGCAGAGGGGGCGCACCGGGGCGGGGGAGAGGCTGCAGGGCGTCACTGAAAAACCCAGTGCTACAGATATCGAAGAAGGCGGGGTGAGCCGCACAAAACATGGACAGGAACAGAAAACGTCGAGCGTCCAACTGAAGCCTGACAACTGTACTGTAAGGAAACAGGCAGAAAGGTAAGCTTGACACGAATTTCCTGAATCTGGGTGCCGTAGTTGCATTTTTTTTTTTTATTGAGGTGCGAAGATAAACGGGCTGCTTTCGTCCGAACTTTCTTTACAGGGAGACTTTGAAGTTTGAGAAACGAATCCGAAAACTTCAAAACTATCTTCTGCTGCAAGAGCGACATTGATTTCCAATTTATTTTTACATTAAAAACTTCACGACCAAAGTGACTAAAATAGTGTACAGAGTCCGTGTTTCCGGGGTTGTTTCCTCCTATGTCAAGACCTGTTTTCTTGCGCACCTCAAATGTAACACGGATGTTCATTTCGGTGACACTGAAACAAATAGGATTATCTTGGAGACATGTCCTCTTCCGGGACCCTTACTTAATCTATGCCAGCCATATGTTTGCGTAAATAAATAAATAAATAAACAAATGACAAAAACGGCTTTAAAGCAGCTGCTCGCCAGCAAAAGGAAGTTTTTTTTTTTTTTTTTTTTTTTTTTTTTTACTTTGCAAGACCAGTTTGCACACTCTTATCTTTTGATTAGATAAAGATAGCAATCTTTCTGGATACTCTGAGTGTCTAGTTTCTCTGCAGGTCTATTTTCTCCGTAGCATTTCATAGATGTATCAGTTCACTGTAAGCAGTGTTTGGAATGTGAGCTCTGCGGGCAGAAATACCCCGCAGGCGGTCAAGAGCGCTTGTTCATTGCTCGGACTCCTCGTCCCATTCATACTGGGTTTTTGTGCACGCTATCCCTGGCTTTGCGGTGGGAAGGAGGATGCCTGTTGGACTCAGACATGCATCAGCAGAAAAGTTGTCATGCTGTATTTTGATGACTGGGGTTGGGCCTTAAAGGATTTCAAGCTGCTCCTCACACAATAGTTCCTCCACAAACCTATCTGTATCATGATATGTAGAATGCAGCTTCCTCTGCAGAAAGCACTGGGGAAAGCCATATAACAATTGTTCCTATATTGTGCTATAACATGGCCCAATGTGCCTGGACTATATGTAATTAAATCTTTCTTTAGGGAAGATGTGCCAAAAATCACTCAAAATTTAGCTGAACCTCTTCAATATTCCCCATATTTTACTAAGCTTGCTACTGAAGTGTTGAAAATCATGGTTGGGCCTTTGTGCTGTTTGGAGTGCAGCACATCCTCGTTTTGACTAACCAGGCCCACTAACTGAAAGTCCTTTGTTCATTTCCCAGGACCAACCACAAACAATTTGGTTTCCTTGAGGGGGATCCTTGTCTCCACCCAGCTCCGTTTTGACTCTAGTTGCATTCATGCGTTGATATGTCACCATCATGTTGTCACTTGCCATAAATCACATCACGTACAGTGAGATGTGACACTGTAACTTTAATGTGAGAGGAAATTAATTATTCATCATATCTGTATTTAACTTATGCAGGGCAGAGGTCATGTTGATAATATGCAGCGGATAAAAAAAACCCCTGCATGTTCTGGTCTGGTCTTGAATATTATAATATTCTGAGTTGTTCCTGATTCTATAAAAATTTTTTATTTATTGATTCATTTTTTTGTTTCAGTATCGCTACTGTCGTGCTTTAAAACGAACACACAGACTACCTCTTCTCTGTTCATACGGCAGCACTGGCATATCTTCTGCATATTAAACGCTCTGAATCTACTTGCAGCTGCTGCTGCTGAAGAACAGCCTCAATTTTCAGCTCTGTTGTGTTTTCACATCTCTGTGCTGCTGGGGTGACATTTATGATTTGCATAAGTAATTTAGTTTCTCAAGACGGGTCATAATAAAATATTTAGAATATTCAAATGTTTCGGGAACTCTTTATGTCGTCTTGTTTTTCTACGTTTTAGACTGGGAGTATTTTAAATGGAGGTTTGTTTTTGGGAATCGTTCGGATTTGCTTGGGAGAACGACGACCGTAAGATAAAGAGAAAACTTTTCCATCTTGCCTTTAAGTTGTATTTGCAGAGAATATGTTGTCCTAACGGTCTGCTGTGTCCGCTGTAAAGAGTGCTTATTCTGCTAAGTGTCGGTGTGTTATCACCCAAGCGCTGTAAGTGCCGTCCTATAGTCTTATGTGCTCTTTAATTATTTATGGATGACACATAAAATGAACAGCATACCTGCTATTGCCGTCGACTGTAGGGGCAGAAATGATACGACCGGATAGCTTGTAGCAGCACCAGTCGGGATGAAAAAAAAATCCCACAGCCGATGTTTACTAAAAGCAAAAATGGCATTTAGAAATGTCATTGCTTACTTTCAAATAACACCAGTGGGTCGCATTCTGATGTTCACTAAAACAAACACCAGATATTTCTGTGGTATCTTGGCGTTTACTAAATTCTTCAGATATTTTAAATCCAGCATGAAGTGTGGAATCAGTCTACAGTACACTGGGAGGCAGGAGCTTGTAGGTCTACCTTTTAGAAGGAAAAAAAAAACTTCACGGTTCTTGAAGTCGTCATGGAGGAATTTTGGGGCTTTCTTTTATGACAGAGTTTTTTTTCACTCGAGTAAAGTTTGCAGACACTCTTTCGATGCTCCGCTCCCCATTACTGCCTTTCAATCAAGGCAGAGTCTTTACCCTGGATTATAAAACTTCTTTGTATTTGTCAGTCACTCTGCTGCATAGTTGCTGTTGTGTTTGTGAGAACTAATTCTGCAGGATGACTCAACTTGAATGCTTCGGTCTTTTGGTTACAAAACAAGCCAAAATTAACAGGCTTCCATGTCTGACAAGTATTTGACAAGTTTTTGTCTTTTGACACACACAGTGCTGTGGATTATGACCAAACTCATCTACTTTGACCGCATTTCACCACAGGGCAGAGTCTTATCGCTAAGTCAGATGCAAATTTTAAATAAATCCTCCTGAATACTTTCTATAAAGTATATTCATACTCATGGTCACCCTTCCAAACAAGCTACACTTGAGCTTTAAATTCTTGTTTTTTTTGTGTGGTTTCTTTAACCATTGTATAGTTTGTTGTCACAAACTTGCTAGCAACATCTCACTGAAGCAGAATAAACTTAAATGTTTTAGAAACAGATTTATAACCCTTCCAAGATTGATAGCTAGGTGCGGTTGACCTCCTGGTAGACCAGTAAACAGTACTGGTCTAGAAGTGCAGTTTTCACTATTTAGCATACAGTGAAAACTGCATTAATTTTGACTGACTTTCACAACTATTTTCTGTAATGTTTAAAATTGTAATTTTTTTTAACTGTCTGTTCGATGAGAGCGTCAGTAAATTTTAAAATATGATAAATGTATGTAAATGCCTGCAACTTAGTAATGCAAAACACACTTCTTTCTGTGACTAGTGTGCTGAAGAAGCCAAATAAAATGGCCATGCTTTTTATGGACAACATTTGAGTTTGTGGGGCCATGATTGCAATTACCTGAAAAGATTTCACAGAAGTTATAGTTTGTTTTTTATCATTATTACAAAAGTATTCTAAAATATAGTGATAAAGATATGGTCTATTTCACCCACCCCCAGTAAAAAGTCCTGAATTGCAAAACTCTAGAATTGCTTTCTTTCCATGTGTATAGGTGTAGCACTGACATCGTTTATTTCTACTAAGTTTTAGAGGAGGAGCGTTCTCCTTTCTGTTTTGACTCAGCTCACGGGAATCTGTCGCTGAGGCGGGCCACTGAAATGGGTGTGGCTCACACCGAGCGGTGGAAAAAGTTACAAAGTTGAAGAAGCTTTGCATTAGCCAATGGTAGCTGCTTTAAGCTAAGCTGCTGCTGTACCTGCAAGGTAAATGTTGAAACAGGAAGCGGTGCCGGAGAGTTACAAAAAGAAACAAAAGTGGCGTTAGAAATAAACGGCCGCTTCTTTTGTCTGAGTGTTTTCGGCAGCTCCGGTTCTGTCAAAATGTTCTGGAGCGCTTTTGACACTTCTTGGTTCTGCTTATTTAAAGATTCTGAGAGAGCTTTTGCTTGTTCTGATGCCATGCACAGTTCATTAAGCGCTGCTCTTCACACAAAGCACATCTCTAAGCCTCTTGCACGCTACATGCCCTCCCCACAGAGCGGCTGATTTAATTCTCAATGCAAGGTGTTTCTGACGTTTTGTCCACGTTCAGCGATGCTCCACTTGAGTAGCACATGTTTGTTTATTGTGTGTTATCTCTTATCGAATGCAAGCAGTGGTTTGCTGAAAAGCAAACTGATCTGACTTTAAAAAAAAAAAAGAAAAATCCCCTGCATCTTTCACAGAAACTGTTTTAGCTGCTGCCTTAGGAGATGTACATGTTTCTCTGCATTCTTTCTGAGCTCAGTTTCTGAATTTTTTTCTGTCATTTATTTGTCTTTCTTATTCCAGGTTTTAGCAGCTGGCGCTAAAGGGACAACCTGACACCCGGTCAACAAAATCCTGCCAACATACATCCTGTTTCTGCTCCCGTTCACTGGGGTCCGATGTGAGAACGCCACGCCTCTCATGTGAAAAGCTTTGTCTGTCAGAGATCCTCTGTTTGTGGCTGCACAATCCACCACTCATCAATACTTAATAGCTTCCTAATGGCAACTTGTGCTTCCTTTTAATTTATGATTTGGGCTCAGAGCTGCATCAGCGCCTCATCACATTTACACAAGTGCTGCCAGAGTGCTTTTTATGAAAGGCTGTTGGTGCAAAAGATTACAGCTGCCTCTTGAATAATTGGTTGCTTATTATCGCCTTATTTTCATTTTTAAACAGCCGTCATAAATAGAGTTACAGTCAGCCGTCAAGATGGTGGAGGCCCCCATTTATGCCACAGGCATGGCCGCCAAGCTCAGGAGTCAGTGGGATCGCGACGGCGGCCTGGGACAGAACGACAACGCGGTGAAGTTTCTGGGTCAGGACTACGAGTCTCTCAAAGCGCAGTGCCTCCAGAGCGGTTCGCTGTTCGAGGACAACATGTTCCCCTGCACCACATCGTCTCTGGGATTCAACGAGCTCGGCCCCAGATCCTCCAAGACCAGCGGCGTCCGCTGGATGAGGCCTTCGGTAAGAAAGGAGGGAAACCTCTGGGTGGATCTTTACTGTGTCGTTGTAGGTGTATTAAGGGACGGGATGGTTAGTGTCATTTGTGCTGAATTTGACGAAAGTTGGAAATGGAGACACAAGTTTGAGTGATATTACCTTTCTGAGGTGGTCAAAAGTCAACAAAGTCAACTTATTAGGTGATAGAGTGATCACCTTAAATGCTTATGATGTCGACTCCCTGATCACATCTTCAGTAACAAATGGCTTTTTGCATTTTTCTGGCACATCTTAGTTTCAGTGGACGTGCCATGGTTTAAGACATAAACTCTTTGCTTAAACTGAAAACTTTTTTATCCAGGAATTATTGAGCGATGTAAGGAAACAACTGCTTTAATCTGTGCTTGCTCCATTGCCCAGTATGAAAAGTAGCACAGTTTTTGAAGAGCTTAACGTCCAATCCCGACCTCAACAAAAACAGATGTGAAAATGTTTTTTTTGTATGTGTGTGTGTGAGAGCAGATAATGACTTCGCAGGAGTTTTGCGAAGTCTTCCCCAGGATTATTTGATTACACCCTGAAGCAAACTTTTCCCACAGTCATGACTTTCATCTGTTGCTAGGCAACTACACTTTCAGAGCTGAGTGATTGGAGGATCTTTCCTCCAGTTTAGGGAGTCTGCAGCATTTTTCTCCTTCGTTTTTCCTCCTCTGCTCCGTTCCTGCCTGCCGTCTCTGATTAACTCCTCGTAAATACACCAGAGCTCTCAGTGTACTCGAGTATTTTAAGAGAGCTCAGTGTGATCACAGAAGCCGTGAACACGGCGCACTTGTCACCATTCTCCCCCCTCCCCCCACGAATCGTGACAATCTTTCACTTTTACTGGGTAAAGAACTGTGATCCGATTCCGCCAGGGTCGTGATGGTCTTCGTGACTGCAGCCTTTTATCCTGCAGCTTTCGGTTCAGTAGGCTGACCAAGATTTTACGTCCATAAATACGTCATGGATCGATCCAAGGCTGTCGTCTCTAAGGCGTATTGTGATCTCAACTATCTGGAAGATTTAGTGTTTCTTAATGTGTTATGTGGTCTGTAATATTTACTCTGTGGTAACTGGGTCAGGGCCGTCATGCATCGCCTCAACAACGATTGGATATGTGATGGTGGTGTGTTTTCTTGTATCCTTGGGTGGGTTAAAAATCATCGTTGTCAATCAATTTAAAAGGTGTAATCAGATTAATCACACTCTTGCATTGCAGTTAATCATGATTAATCACTATGCTTAACTTTGGTGATTTTTTTACAGCTTGGACTGTAAAACAAACTGCAAGTTTTAAAAAAAGAATAATCTCAACTTTCTCAGTTTTTATATTCGGTAAGGTTTAAAAGAAGTCAATTCGTTTAAAACGTGAATTTAAAATGTTAACTATAAACTGGTTGTGCTTCAGTGGATAATTCACCGTTGCAATAATTAGGCTACATTGGTTTTATCCAAACGTCCATCGCGACGGTTTTTAAAGCGAAATTTGCCTCCGACTCTCCTTGCCCATCGTTTCACTCACATTTGATACTCTTCACGGCTGACCGCAGTACAACACAGTGTAACGTGCTGCTTTAAACTTAAGAGGCTGTTGAGTCAAAATGGGTCAAACGATTAATCTGCGTTTTGTAATATTAACTCTTTAAAGTTGTTGGATTAATCGCACATGTTAAGGTGTTAACGGTAACGGCACAAACATTTTCCAAATCCAGCATGTTTTACAACAGTCTAAAGTCGAAAGCTCAAAAAGACATAAAGTAGCCACTTGAATATTTCTAAAAATGTTTTATTACATTTATTGTTTTGCCTTTATGTTCCCATGTATCACATGGAAATAGCTGATGTGCATTAGTACCAATTGAGGCAACTTTTCATTTAGCAGGCTTCATGAATTTACGTGTTCAAAAAGGCAATAAAAAATTATTTTATTTATTTATTTTACATTGTAATTATGAAGGAACCACCTGTTTTGGTTTTGATTTGCTATTGGCAGGGTCATGAGAATAAGACAAGTTACATTACTTTCAAAACGAGTTACTAGAATAATTTCTGCTTTGCGTGTTCCCAACAGGAGTTGTGCAGGCGGCCGGAGTTCATTGTGGACGGAGCGACTCGCACAGACATCTGTCAGGGATCCCTGGGTGAGTCCTAGTGGGACAGCCACTATTTCACCCACGTACCTCCACATACCTAGAGAAGAATCATAGAAATGTAGTTTATTTCTCACTTTTTCCCCCTCCTACATCTGCAGTGTGAGAGTTGTTTTTGTTTGTTTTTTACTGTTGTCGCTTTTCATCTGCAGGAGACTGCTGGCTGCTGGCAGCCATCGCCTCACTGACCCTGAACGATAACCTCCTCCACAGGGTGGTTCCTCACGGACAGAGCTTTCAGCAGGGTTATGCTGGCATCTTCCACTTTCAGGTAACAACTCCACTTCCTGTGTTTTTACAGAAAGAGCCTAGACGACCCCTCCATTTGTCTGTCGCAGACCTGTCTTCATCTTTGATCAGTCTTTTCCTGTATACCTTCAGGGCAACAGAAATATTTTGCCACTTACAGCTTTACCTGTTTCCATGTTCTACTCTGCAGATTTTCTATTTTAAGACACACCTTTCTCCTGCTGGGATTAAAGTACTAAGGAGGATAAATGTGGAACAATTCTGACAGAAGGCATAAAAGAATATTTATATCTCCCACATTTTATTGAAGGTTTCAAATGCGATCAGAACGTGCAGTATAATTCCCAGAAGCCATGGGTGCGTCTTCGGTTTTGAAGGCGGTTGATGACTCAACCGGAGTCCCCTGCTCAGCGGAGCGCGTTGGAACTCCGGTTTAAGCTTTTCATGGAAAGATTTGCCAGGCAGGTACGATGGCTTCCAGGAAATTTTGAGGTTGTGAAAGACGTTTCATATTCTCCTTCACAACAGAATTAGCTCTTCTTCTACAGCTGCAGAAATCCGGCCTTGTTGAAAACTGTTCCAGAGGTCATGGGTCAAACCTGATTTAGGTGTGAAAGTAGCCAGAATGCTGCGACTCCCTAAAATGCAAATATTTTTTCAGTTTTTGTGTTTCTGAGCTGAATTTCAGCAAGATTATCTTGAGCATGCCTTTTACACTCATTGGCACTTGTGGTAACTGCATCTTAAAAGCATTGGCATGAATTCATCTGTTGCAGTAGCAGAATGTCACACTAATTATCAGTAAAATAAAATCGAACCTTTAACTTGCATCCAAGAAAATCCCAAATAAGGAAATGTATGTTTTACGTTGGTGTGTGTTAGAGATTGTTTGACCTTGAGGGTTTGTTCAGCTGTTCAGAGCCAGGCTTAGAGATCTGACGTACCATTCTCCTTGATTCAACAAACGAAATAGCACAGGACTCAGAAGAACTGTCTCAACTGTTTTTGTTCATTTTCTTTAGTCTATTTTAATTGGACAGACACCTTTTGAATTATTGCTGAAGCGTACAAATATGAGGCTTAAAAACATTAAAACAGCTGAACCTGCAAGCAATTTAGATTCAATTTCTGTGAAGACTGATTTTTATTATTTTTTTTCACTGATAATTTGGCACAGCAATATTAGCATGTTAGCAGACTAGCTGGTCTAGGGAGAGGTCATCCTGGGAACGCAGTCTGCTCCTCATTTGATTAAGTTCCCAGACTTATTTTAGCACGTGCAAAGCATCTCTTGGGAGGTTATGGAGATCTATCTTAGTGGTAGTGGGGTAATGGTGTCTTGTGGGCTCTGTGTATTACATAACTGGGCCTGCACATAGCTTTTCAAGGTGTATTGTATATTTTCACACCAGCAATGAATTGTGAGAATCATGGTTAGAGGTGTGTGTTGCTCTGCTCTCGTGTCGCCAAGATCGTTGAAGTACTGGTGCGATTTACTCTTCCGCGACAAGATTGAAATTGGTAATTGTTCAGAAAAATCCCACATGAATGAATGGGAGGAATTTATTCATTCATGTGTGACATGAATGAATGAGCATAATGTTTGAAACCGTTCAAGCACAGAGGTGATGATTCTTGTGGTACGACTTTCAGGAAGGCTCCAGTGGAAGAAAATTATTTAGCAACTACTACAGAGCAGCGGCTACATTTTAGCTTTAATATTAAAAAATATTTTCTTCATTCAATCACGGAGAACGTAGGATAGTGCTAAACTTCGTGAGAAGACTCCGTTAGAGCATCTTCAGTTACCTCAGATTGTCTGTTATTTTGATTGAACACGGTGGGCAAATCTTTCCATTAATCTCTACATGCTTAGAAGAAGATGCAACTCTGATTGAGTCTCTTAGCAGCTTTGATTTATTAAACCACTGAGGACACTCCTGTTGTTTCTACAGAATTACAGTGTGTAGATCACATTGTTGAAACCTAGAAGATCTGAGAGAGGAGCAGGATCTGCCGGGACGCTTAACAACCGACCCAAACGGCAAGAAACGTTGAGCAGAAAAATAAAGACAAGAGTTGTTGTTGTTCTTCTGTCGCGACTCAGAAGTTCAGTCAGAACGATCCCTCTCTGGAAGAACGGTGGCGTCGTGTCCCACTGTGGTTCCGGACGCACACGGGTCACTCCTACGATCCGGTCTCTCCTGGTTTCTAGACTTCTCCATTTGGAGTGGGAGATTTGTTATTAATACAAACAGTTTGATTAAAAGTTTGTAAAATCTCTAGCACCTGTCTGAGATCTGTGACATATATAAATATGAAAAGGTGTTTCAGCAAGCCTTACTGAAAAATGAACAAGTTGGTGTGGAGAACAGTTGTAACAAGAACTGGACAAGAATGCAGCTTTTAGTTTTTTTTCTTTTAGGACGTGTGATCATAAGACGTGTTTTAATCTGTGTGCATAAAAGCACATTTCCGAATTGTTCTCAAAGTGTGATCTGAATCTGTCAACCAACTCTTAATTATTATTATTATTATTTTTTTTTTTTTGCTGTTTTTGTTAAGATAGATCCAAGAGTTTAAAGTGCAGCTTTTATGTCTCTGCCTTCTATTTTTACTTTTCAAATCACTGAAGATGAGCGTCCTCCCTCTCTTCCACACCCAGTCAGGCAGTCAGTGATAATTACCACCTGTGTTTAAATTGCTGTCCCATAAATAATAGAAACTGTTAATGTGAACTCCTGCAGGCTCTTTCAAGCTGACCCTTCACTCTCTCTCTGACCTGGTCATGCCGCTTCGCAACATAATTAAAGAATCTGTTCTGCGGTTATGCATGGATGCAGCCGTTGGGAGGCGACCGCAGCTTATCAGTTGAACTTTGCTTTATTGTGTGCAACAACAAATACATGTAAACTGCAACAAAAATGCACCTGTAGCACTGACACAGACCTGGGCTTGTTTCAAAAGGTCTTTTTTTCAGAAAGCTAACAGGAAGCGAACATGGTCAGTCATACATGGAGTTTTATTACAGCAGAGGTTTACTATGTAAGATATGACTGGTTCCCTTCTTTGGCAGATTATTTGAATGAGCCTGTGGTTTTTTTTTATTATTTGCATGTTTTATAACTAATGATTGTAACCACAGCGTGTATTAAAGGTGTTGTTTGCAAATGGAGAAGTATCATTAAGTAACAAAGTGCTTAGAAGTACCGCAGATTTGACTCTTAAGAAAAAAAAAACACTTATATTGTCAGTTCTGTGTTTAAGAGTCAAAGTCACAAATGAAAATTGCAGTTCACAAACTCCCAGATAAATAAAGGTTAAACAGACTTAAACTGTGGGTTTGTACTTTGTGATGATTTTGCATCAAATTTGAAGTGATTTTTAAGACGCTAACTGAGAGCAAAGCTTATGAAGAATGATTGCTTGGCCTGTTCTGAATTGAAAAACTGACACAAACTGCGTTTTTAGAAAGAGGTTTCTCATCGTAGCTGCATGTTCTGTACATTACATCAACGTTTGGCTGACACGCATCCAAAAATACCTTTTATAGTTATGGCCAAAAAGTCGATCTTGCTCTTTTGGGAGACTTCAGATGTCTTTTTGCAACATTTAACTTGGTTTAGCTATTGTTTTTTTTTTTAAACAAAGGAAAGGCTTCCATCTTTTAAAAATATGAGTTTTGACTTTAAGTAAGAAGTTGTAGCTACTGATTTCAAAGTTATTCCTTTTAAAGAACTATTATAAACCAGAATTAAAAAGGAAAAAAAAAATCATGTGACATCACAAAACACTTGCAATATTTACAGGTCCATCAATACAAATACAATGCACAGTAAAGATGGCCACACCTGGAACGGTCCAAACTTAGCTGCAAAGCTATTCTGATCCGTTTTCAAACTGCTTCAGACAAAGGAGTGCCTTTTATGTCTTTATTTCTGAATTTGTTTCTCCGGCCATTACCAAAAGAGGTTTATTTTACACTTTGAAGAATCTACTAAAACATGCCCCCATAAGACTGTCTTCTGCCTCTTTAGACATGTTCTCTAAAAGTCTTATTCTTCTCAAAAAAAAAAAAAAGAAATGAGACGGAGAAAATCTGGTTGCAGCTTTTGTAATAACTCCACCATCTCAGCTCGCTGGGTCACTGAGCCCTTTCAAGATAATTTGACTTTTGATTCAGTGGGCGTTTTGCCAGCCCAGGGGAACAGAGCCATCCTGAAGGAGGGACGACATACTCACTCATCAGTCGCATATAGCATGCACAGTCAGAGATTATGTCGAAAGCGAAATACAACAGAGATCCGTCAGGGATCCCTTCTATCAGCCCGTTCAGTCATGAAAACCGTCGGAGCAGAAACGAGTAGACAAACAACCTAGCTGTCTGTGCACATTCCCTACGTAAGCCCACATGGTGCAGACAAACATGTAAAACAAAGCAGACTGTCGTCAAAATAAGTTTTAGATGGTCAGAAAAAGATGAAGTTCTCTTTTCCCTGGTGTGCGGTTGTCTCATGTGGCAGAAAGATCAATAAAAGTCATCACGATGTGGCTCAAGGCTTCTATTTTACTCCTCTGGGACCCGTCAGTGGTGCACTGCAGAAACATGTGCTTATGTATTCATTACTGCTTTACTGAAGTGAGAGGGAGTAAATCTCCAGCTTGCTCAAAATGTCTTGCAAATGCATGTTGCACTAAATCTAAACACAGGAAAGCTGAACACCATACGAACGCAAAAATAAAAGAAAGAAAAGCTTCATATTTTGTGAAACCTGCTCTACTTCCATAATCCTTTCTTCACTTCTGCTGTATTCGTTAGTAGGTCTTTGCTTTCTTCTGGATTTGTGCGCTTTCAGATCTGTCTTGGATTTCCCTTTTTGTGTAAGTTTGGATCCCTTAAGCCTGTGGATAAATTACCATGATCTAAATGAGTCATCCCAAAACGTTACCAGTCCAAGCTGTGGGGAGTTGTAATCTGTGTTTTTCAGTGAGAAGGCAGAAAGGGGAGAAAGAAACAATCAGAAACGAGGGGAGTCTCGAACAGAAACAAAAACAAACTGGAGCAGAATCCTTTAAGATATTTGTAGCATTGTGTTTTTTGCACGGGAACGCCCATTGCTGAGCAGTTTTGAGGTTTTTCTCAGGCTCAGACGCTTAAGTTCCTGCAAGTCATGACACTGATCTGGCCAGAGTTTTTTTTTTTTTTTTTTTCTCACAGCGTCTATGGGTGGCGTTCACACTTGGCTGTTCCAGCCTGAAACTGCACGAGTCTCCAGGAGACCATAATGTGGCACAGTTTCCCCCAGAAATGGTGTCAGCTTTGCAGGCAGGTTTTGGAAAGTTTCTGCTGCACATTAAAAACAGATGCTGACCAACAAAAGTGGGCTAAATGCTCCTGGATGCAACGTGATGCTAGTGCGCACTCATTAGCTCTGTGGTTAAGCTAAAAAGAGTTCTCAAACCTTCTTCCTCTTTTCTTTGTCTCTTCCATTGACTTAAATCGCAAATGGAGATTGTTTTGTTTTTGTTTTTTTGCTGGAAATGCTTCCATTGCATTCAATTACTGCTTTATAGTTTCTGCATGTGGCTTTTCATTTGGTCCTTGTGAGACTTTTTAGCACAAGTCTGAATTTATAGATACATTTAGCACACTAGCATAATCCAGTTCAATCATAGATCAAGACGGCCTGCCTTTTTTTTAATTTTTTGACACAATCAAAACTTCCACAGTAGAGGTGTTGCAAGTTTGAAATTCTATTTATGTCCATGAAATATGTTTTTCAGTGCTTGGTCTTATATGGCAAGAAAGGAACATGTCTGACCGCAGCCTAACCTTTCACTGTTGCTACAAAAGAGGATGCATGTGCAGTTGGGAATGTGGAGAGGTGCAGATTTAGCACTTCAAGCACCTTTGGAGTGTTAAAAGGAAAATCTTGTCAAAAAAAAACAAAACTCCCAAGCCACCGAATTTACAGGAGACAAAATTTGGGTTTACAAAAATGCCGTTTTTGCTGGAAACCTTTTTTTATTCTTATATCAAGCTGTTTTGTTTTTAGCTTTTTATTAGAGAAATTTCCCATGTTTGTTGGGGCTTTTTCTCCTCAGTAGTTTTGTTTTTTATTGAACTGCATTTGGATACATGTTGGTGTATAATGACCAGCAGGATTCTAATCTGACTTGGTAGGATTTTTTATTTATTTTTGTGAGTTGGTTTTTGTAACTCCTTATCGAACTTGTGGTGATTCTCACTTCAGTGAGAAAATCTCACAGGCGTCATTTCTGATTTGCACCCATATGTTAATCTACCCAGCTGCTGAAGAGAAGCGTATGTGAATTGGTGAAATTCCAGATATTGCTTCTGTGTTTCTGCAATAAATCTGAAACAAATATTTTAACCTCTATGATTACTCCTAAATTTGACTACGTCACATGCAGAATGCTTTGGGTCTGCATCATACTGCCCCCTGCTGGACGCCAATCATTCAATCAGATCTCATTTCTCAGAAGAGAGTCGATTTGCATCTACCTGTAAAAAGAGATGAAAACAAACCAATACCTGTGTGTTTTCGTGGAAAGAAGAATCAATCATCTGAACACATCAGCCTGTAGGCAAACTATTTCAGAGAAATTAACTCTGCCCTTCTCTTTATGTGCAGCAGAGAAACCGGTTTGATTTGGAACATTTCTGCTAAACACATGCTATAAAAAGTTCTAACAGAGTTACTTGTAAACATTCGACATCTCATTTGTCAAAAGAGTGAGCGATGTAGTTTTCTTTAACTTGAGTTTAACCAGAATGTTTTTTTCTGTTCTTGTATTATTAATGATTTGTATCAAGAAATGTAATTATTTTTGCTTTTTAAAACCTTTATTCACACAAAAATGCGAAACATTTATGTTGCTAATTTGGCTTTAGTAGACTGACGTTGTGAAGTAATCTTTCTACAGATTCAGAAGAAGTATCAAAACAAAAATCCTGCATGTAATTGTTGCAATGTTCTGAAACTGTGTAGATGTTGGAATGAGATTCTGTGCAAACGGTCCAGACTGCGCTTTTAAAGAAGGTGAAATCTTCCTGTAGCATTATGTTTTCTAGAGCTCTCTGCTTTCTCTCTGTAATGCAGTTCTGGCAGTTTGGAGAGTGGGTGGAGGTGGTGATTGATGACCGCCTCCCAGTGAAGGATGGGAAGTTGCTGTTTGTCCACTCCGCAGAGGGGACTGAATTCTGGAGCGCTCTGCTGGAAAAGGCCTACGCCAAGTAAGAACAAAGCTGAAAAAAAAAAACCACATGCTGATGCACAATCATGCATTATTGTTGCAAATCCCTTTCCTTTTTTATGCACTTACTGGCCTTATCAGGTACAGCTTTCTGGTACTGGGTTGGGTCTCCTGTTACCTTCAAGAGTAGTTTTCTTGGCATTGATTCAGCTAGGTATCGGAAACATTTTGATGGATGGAGAAATGTTTTCTGATTTGGATCCAAGTCTGACGCTGCTCTCTAAACTAAAATGCAAACTGACAGCTCAGCTTTAAAACTGACACCTAGTGGTTGTCCGGCATAATAAATCGGTCACGATTAGTCCTTTTAATTAGTATCGCAGGCTGCTTGGTTGATGATTCTTTTTTGTGTGTGTGTTTAAATTTGATATATTTAATCATTAGTTTCTTTAAAGTGAAGCATGTTGTATTTAAATTTGGATTTCTACGGCAGCCTTCAGCCAAACGAATTGTCTTATCAGGACAATCCGTTCTAATAAGATGAGTCACAAATTAATTTTCTCTTCCGGTTACAGTTTTAACCTCTTCCTTGAATATCTCAAGTCTGGGAATTGCCTGTTGACCAAACATTGTCCAGAAGGTACAATGTTTGAGACACTTGGCTCTTTCTAAAGGGGTTCAATGACTGAGAGCTGCAGCTGCTTCATTTGACAGCTGTGGTCTCAGTTGCGCTGCTGAGATGCAGTATTGCTCATATAAACACATGGCTGCCAGGTTCACACAAGTTCCCATATTAGTGCAATGTGAACATGAGTCTGAAGCAGCAAACGCTGTAGCAACTGTAGTTGATTTAAACTTTAACATAAATAACACAGCGTGGAGTGTTTCCACTGTTACCGCCACTCTTTCCCTTGGAGACCCAATTCATGCACCGGAACTGCTCTGGTCTGCAGGCTGAACGGCTGTTATGAGGCTCTGTCAGGCGGCAGCACATCTGAGGGCTTTGAGGACTTCACCGGAGGCGTGACGGAGATGTTTGAGCTGAAGAAGGCCCCCCCAGACCTCTTCAGCATCATCGGCCGAGCTGTCGAGAGAGGATCCCTGCTTGGCTGCTCTATCGACGTCAGTACTGATGGTTTACTTATGTTCAGATTCAAGATGATGTGGATTCATCTCACATTCTGAAAGTGATGGAGGATGTTTTCTCAAACCGTCTTCTTACACGTTTGTGTCAAACTCATGACCTGGGGGCCAAATCTGGCCCGCCAAAAGTTTTTATGAGGCTCTTTAGACTCCAGGGTGACATAGTAGACTAGATATGAAAGTCATAAATTCTGTAGATTTGTGTTTTTTTAAAGAGGAGACACATTGAGGGAATGTAAAAAATTAATCCCCTGATTTTTTTATTTAATTTTTTTTTATTTTTTATTTTATTTAGGCTAAATAAATATAAAACAGAACTTGACATCGTGCCTTGTGTGTTTAAATGCATATAAACATAAAGAAAACAAAACAAAAAACCCCCCAGGAGATTTATTTTTCACTTTTCCTCAATGTAAGATCTCTTTAAAAAAAAAAACTACAGAATTATGACTTCATCGTCTAAATATCTTCTTATGACCTATAATATAATATTGTAAGTGGGAAACAGATTTTAGTTGAAGCCAGTAGAGGGCAGAGACGCTCACACAACCGAAGCTGCCTGGAATCCAGTGTGTCAAAGGCTTTTGATCAGGACTTTTATTTGCGGACGGAGAGCACTGAACTCTGCAGTGAAGGACATTCTGTCTGGTAAATTTGCCTTCTGATATTTTAGTTTGGGTATGACGAACCAGCCAGAACTGCTGACGAACTGAGAAAGGTCATATATGGACCTTTCTCCATACATGATGAAATTGTGAATCATTGATTATCAGAATGTTCTTTTGCACTGTTGCAATGCTGCAGTTGCACCTCAGCAAACGTTTGCAGGTGTGAATAGTTCAGAAATGAGCGCTCCAGAGAACGCCTCCTGTAGTTATTGGTTTTCAGGTGCCACAGTAATAAATCCGAGCTTGTTTCTGCAAGATATCACATGCAGTGCTGAGTTGTAGCTTGACCAAGCATTATGAGATTTTCTCGCTCCAGATAATGTGTCAGCGGAGACAAATAAACCATCTCAGTGGCTCCTATTCACAATCCATGCGTTGCATTGTCTCTTTCACAGATCACCAGCTCATCAGACATGGAGGCCGTCACATTCAAGAAGCTGGTGAAGGGCCACGCCTACTCTGTCACCGCTGTGGAGGAGGTGAGCCGTCATGCTGGGGGATGTGGGATCAGGCCCATCACAATAACAAATATCGCTGGAGGATGATTTGTCCCAGAAGTTATTGCGATAAATGATAATATTGTTGTTTTGAGACCATTTTCAAATAATATAATTGTAAATATGTGAGAACATTCTCAAAGGTCAACAAAGTTTAAATTCTAATGAACATTTAACGCTGGAAGACATTTTAATATCCATAATAAAGCCAGTTTTTGATAAGACAAAAGAAACATTAAATTATGCAAATGGAAATTATTGAGCTTGTTTTAATTTATTATGAGGTTTATTATTTATTACAAGGCAAGACGGGATCAAAAAACAAATGGGGATGTAGAGTTGACTGTAAATCATTAATTGACTCAGCACTCACATGAATGAACATATAAACTGTAGTCCGCTCTGAAACTGATCCTGGCTAATTGGGAGTTTAATTGACCTCATAAACCAATTTGAAATCTTGGCCTTTAATCATTGATCGAAAACAAAGTGCAATCTGAGCTCGGTGTTCTGAACACGCTGTGCAGCAGATGTTTGTTCTGCAGGGATTGCTCCGTACGCCCAGAGCAGCAGACTTCGGGTCGTGATGCAAACGGGTCGCTTCCCGTGTATGAACGTTTTGTGGCTTGAATGCAGCCGTTCGTTTTAGGTGTATGTGCTCTCCATGTGGGAACTCTGAAAATAAACCCGAGCGGTGTCTTTGCCTGCAGGTGGTGTATAGAGGGAACCTGACCAAGCTGGTCCGCATCAGGAACCCCTGGGGGGAGGTGGAATGGACCGGGGCCTGGAGTGACAAGTAAGGTCTCCCATAGACGGGTTTGTTTTTGGAGTGTAAAGCTTTTTTTTTTCTTCCTCGATTGAGATTTAAAAATCTGATTCAACTGCAGGGTAGATGGGAAAATTATTGTCGATATGGAAGAAATCGCTCCTTTCCTAGTTGGGTGAATTGATGTTTATTTAGAGGCTGAACCAGTTCAAATATTTTCAAGCGTTTATAGTAGAATAAAAATGCGCCAAAATTTATGTTTGGCACATTTTGTTATTTATTGCTTGGAGATATTGACCTGAGTAATACGGGAGTTACAAATCACGTCAGTAATCATCAATATCAATCGATATAGATAATTATCAAGTTTTCCATCGATCTGTTGTGCTGATTTTCTCCCTTCACTCCACGTTTTTAAGCGATCACAAACTGCTTGAAATCTGCTGCGGCCCAAGTTATTCAACAGTTGTTGTTAGGTAACCAAAGGCCGGGCGAGCGAGCGAGTGAGTTAGTTGATGCCGCCCGCCTTGTTCAGCCTGTTGTGATGATCTGAGTGGCTAAGACTTTACCTCTCCGCCTACATCCCCAGTTCTGGATCAAATTTCAATGAAATTGATTATTCAGATTTTCTATCAATATTTCTATCGATATTGATCTCGAGTCCATAATAATTGTTGTTGATTTATTTCCCAGCTTTACTGAGTAGCAATTTTTCTCTTGAAAATCAACACACAAGTGTTTTCTTGTCTTTCCCACTTTGGGGAGTGCCTAAGAGGAGGTAATTTCTGGGAACTAAATTTAAAGAACTTAATGGTTTATATGTAATATCTGAGATGGACCTTATGTAGAAAACTATGCAGTGCCGTTTATTTATTTATAAACTCTTTAGCTCCGGAGAATGGGACTCCGTGGACAGCTCCGTCAGAAGTCGGCTTCAGAACCGCAGTGAAGACGGAGAGTTCTGGTGAGTCATAACAGAATAGAGACCCAGCCTCGTAAATTATTCCAACATTTACACCTGCGCTAAAACAAAGTCCCACCTTTGGACAAGGTCAATTGAGCCAGACTTATTTCCATCTTCCAGGATGTCCTTCACTGACTTCCTGCAGGAGTTCACCCGTCTGGAGATCTGCAACCTGACGGCGGACGCCCTGCAGCACAGCCAGATGAAGAAGTGGAACACGTCGCTCTTCGGCGGCGAGTGGAGGAGAGGCAGCACCGCTGGAGGCTGCAGGAACTACCCAGGTACCGGCCGACGAGGAGGAGATGACTGGAAGATTGTAACTTGATTTTGTTGTCACATTTCAGGAAACAAAATCTCCCACATCCCATGGCAAGAGTCTCATGGTGTTAAACTTGATAAATGGAAAATGCTAAATGGTTCTTTTATTTGTATAAACTTTGTTATTTTGTTGAAAAGAAGCTGTTGTGGAGGAATGTGGAGAATATTTGGACTATTGTCTTGAAGGAATGTGGACAAGTGACTCTTATTTAAACAATAATCAATGACACGTTGCTCCCTTTCCTAAATAGTTTTGGGAACTCAATTCATGCTTTTTCTTTTTTTTATTGTTGTTGTTCTTACCATATTTTCTCCTGACTTTAGAGATGAACATCTGAATTTTCATTTAAGGTTTTATACGTACATAAATCACAGATACGAGTATTAACCTGCAGTTCTCATGGAAGGTGATCAGGCTGACCTTTTGCCCTCTTGCCTGCAGCGACGTTTTGGCTGAATCCTCAGTTTAAGATCGTGCTGAAGCACCCCGACGCCCCCGGCCAATCGGACTGCAGCTTTTTGGTGGCACTCATGCAAAAGGACCGCAGGAAGAAAAGACGAGAGGGCAAAGACATGGAGACCATTGGGTTTGCTCTATATGAGGTCAGCAGCGCTCTGGTCAGATATCAATTCCATTTTACTTTCCTTCTTCATTTGGATGATCTTACTTTGTCCTCAATCTCTTTTTACAGGTTCCAAGAGAGGTACTAGTCTACATATTTATTTTTCTCCAATAATTATTAGTTTTGAGGCCAGATTTCAACCCAGAAGTGAAATGTCAGAATGAAACTTCTCCGGAGTCTCTTTGAATGACAGCCGTAAAAAAAAGCTTTGCCGCCTCCAAACGTCTCTCTTAGTTCGTGGGGAGCTCGGGAGTCCACCTGAAGCGAGACTTCTTCCTCACGCACGCCTCCAGCGCTCGCTCGGAGCAGTTCATCAACCTGAGGGAGGTCAGCTCGCGCCTGCGGTTGCCCATCGGGGAGTACGTCATTGTCCCCTCCACCTTTGAGCCCCACAACGAGGGCGACTTTGTCCTGAGAGTCTTCTCCGAGAAACCCGCCGGCTCAGAGTGAGTGATGCTAAAAGTGCTGAAGAAATGATGCTCGCATTGTGATAACTATTATGTTTATTTTTATAGTTGAGATCATGCAGAGAGAAATGTTAATCAAAGGCTTTCAAAACACTCTGTGTCTGTATAGAGAAACATACGTTCATTTAAATTAGAATCGTCATCTGAAGACAAAATACAAAATGTTGACCCCTTATGAGCTGGGTTTATTCACAGTAAAAAAAATAAGTAAATAATACAGTGAAGCACATACAATAGATTCAAGATTATTTTACTCAGTGTTTACGTTCAAGTGTTTACAATTTATTGGAGCCATGATTGTCACACTTGTTTAAAAAAAAGATATGGCCACTCAAAGTGTTTTTATTACAATCCCTGGTTTGTGTCGGTTTTGCATCAACAGGCGTTTCGGCTGCAACCAAACCAGCAGCTTTAATCCAGGTTTAGAAAATCCATTTTCTAAAACTAAAACGTCTCAAGAAAATATTGTAGGGGAAATTACTTAAGAATTATTTTTTTTTTGTTACTGACTGACAAAATATTTTTAGTCACTTTCTTTTATAATTCCTTTCTGCTCTTGTTCCTGGTATTTCTGTCATCAACATTAAGCAATTTTTTAAAAATTTAATTGTAATTTGAATATTTGATATATTTACTGGCTTCCAAAAGCAAAAGCATAAAGATCTTACCACAAAACCAACGTGTTGGACATCTTGATAAAAGGAAGATTCTACCATAATCCAGTACTGAGAATAGTTTACTCATTATTGTTCGTTTCTGAAATTCTTTGGTTTCATTGCATCTGTTGCCGTCTACTGGATGATGTCTTGCAAAAATCAAAAGGACTTCACTTATTTTCTCTTTTGGCTGTCAGGGAGCTTGATGACAAAGTCGTTGCAGATCTTCCACCAGAGGTGAGAGGAGGCGATTTAAACTACAGACTAAAGTTATATGAAGAAAGTGTCATTAACGTGTTTGTTGTGTTTCAGACCAAACTTGATGAGAGCCAGATTGACTCAAGCTTCAAGAATCTCTTCAGGCAGCTGGCAGGCAATGTGGGCACCCTGTAAAACTCAGTAACTGTGTCGAACTGGAAAAGTTGTAATTAGTTCAACTGAATTTTGTTTGGCCCAACAGGACATGGAGATCAGCATAACTGAGCTTCAGACTATACTGAACAGGATCATTAGCAAACGTTAGTCATTGGAGAAAACTCCTTTTTTTGTTTTATTTAAGTCTGTGTTGTTGTTTCTCTAATATCGCTATACTGTTTGCTCACCGATCAATAGTCATATCCCTGCTTTTCTTCTACTACCAGATAAGGACCTGAAGACAGATGGCTTCTCTAAAGAGGCTTGCCGCAGTATGATAAACCTCATGGACGTATCCTTGATTACCAGATGAAATATGGACCAGAGTTTTCCCCTCTTCCGATTGAGCTGCCTGGATCTTTAATTTACTTTCCATGTTTTTAAAATGCCGGATGTTCCTGAACTTTGTAACTCAGGCGGACGGGAGCGGGAAGCTGGGCCTGACAGAGTTCCACGTTCTCTGGGAAAAGATCAAACGATACCTGGTGAGATTCGTCACTAAAGCCTCAGTCACTGAGCTCCAAGCAACCCGCAGTTACTAATCCAGACTTGGTGATTAGGAACAACATAACGGACCATTGCTATGGATCCAATTCCATGCAAATGTATTTACGTGGGTCGCGAAGCAACCGAAAACTGGAATTTATTTTATATTATTAATCCTACACATGCATGTGAAGCAGGATGAAAAGGAAAAATGGCTTTCAAAACATAAAAAAAACAAAAACTTAAAAATGTGGCTAAGCCAGTTAGTTTTCTGCCACAAGACATTTTGAAATCGTGTTTTGGTGAAAGTTGAATTTTTCAAATCTTAGCCGTTCCCCCCTGACGATGTCTTTCCTCTTATTGGTAAAAAAATAAAAGACATTTTTTTTGGACTCCAAGAATAATAGATGTTGTCTGCATGTATAAACCCACCTGGGTTTTGGATCCCGAAGAGTTACAGTGGCGACTTGGCTGATTCTCTGATCAAAGCTTTCCTTCCCTGGTCACAATTATGCTGTACTTTTTACAGGTCTGTTATGTAACGGCCCAATTAAATACTGTGAAATGTAAGAAAACATGACAAATTAAGACGAATGTCAAAAGACATCAATACTTTTCCCAGATTGAGGGTTTGCTGAGGCACCAATGACCAATTCCTAGCACAAACATTCCCATGTGTGTTTTTAAAGTATTAAATGTGTATCTTGACAACCCATTTTAATGAAATTGGATGCTTTTATGTGTAACTGCTGTCTTTTCTTTTCTTCCTCCGTCTTTGTGTACTTCTACCTCATCAGACTATATTCAGACAGTTTGATTTGGACAAATCGGGCACAATGAACTCCTATGAGATGCGGATGGCCCTTGAATCTGCAGGTACTCTTCTGTGTAACATTGATAAAGAGGAAGAAAAAAAAATCAACTCTGTGTTGAGGCACATTTTAACCATTTAGGACTGTTTCGTCCTCCCTGCTAGGCTTCAAGCTGAACAACCATCTGTTCCAGCTGATCATCCTGCGGTACACAGAGGCAGACATGGCCATCGACTTTGACAACTTTGTCACCTGTTTGGTCCGGCTGGAGACGATGTTCAGTGAGAGGCTTTTATTTTACCCCTTTTGTGACCCAAAGAAAAACCCAACATTGCTTGTATCCCATCTCTCTTTTGAAAGAAAATAACCCAGAAGGAAAATCTGCACTGGTTTTGGTCTGTTTTTGACAGAAAATGTAAGATGCAAATGGTTTTCTACGCTTTTGTCTCAACAGAAACATTTAAAAACATGGACACGGACGGAGATGGTCAAATATCCCTAAACTTCTTTCAGGTAGAGCCTAAACTCTGAATGGCATTTTAATTCATCCTACAAACAAATTGTATACCTGTGTTGTATTAATTTCCTGCTCCCCTCATTCCACAGTGGATTACTCTGACCATGTTTGCCTAGAGATGAGTGGAGTCCATGAACCCACTGCAACTGCAGGCCCATTATTCCCAAATGCTTTTATTTTTACTTTTTTACCAGTGCCTTCACTGCTCTCTTCTCCTCCAAGATGCTTTCTGCTGAGGCCTTGTGTTACTAAAACAGACAGACTTTGTGATTCCAGTGCCTTTATTGGAAATGTGCCAATTCTTTATTTGTTGCATGATTTGCCAAATGAACGGAGCTCACTTGTAGCTTCGCTCACCCTGGGTGCTAATGTTTTTGTTTTGCTAATTTTTGGGGGTGTTTTTTACCTTTAGGTAATGCTGATAAACTATATAGACATAAACAAATTGCTGGTTGGGTCTAAGTGGGTGGACACAGGGTTGTGCTTTTGCAGCATGTTTTTAATTCACAAGATCTTTAACTTTTATCACCACACATCGTGGCGCTTTCTGTCACTCTTCTGCAATCGTTTGCTTTAGTTTGAAATGACCACCTGCACACTCGTGGTCTTTTAGCAACTTTATAAAGTTTTATCTCTCTTCCTCGCCTTCGCTGATTCACAAGTATTAACGCTTCTGCTATGATTTATTTAAATTCGAAACTGCAAATATTGCTCTAAAACCTAAAATTTTAAATGATAGGAATTATTGGTTGATGTCTTTCTCTCGTACTAGTTCAATAAAATCAGTTTCTTTTTTTTTTCTTTTTTTTTTTTTTTTGTGGGTCCAGTTTTTGACACACTCTGGTTAGCCAGTTAGATAATTAGCGCTTCCAGCCAGTTGATCACAGCTCTGCAATTCCTCTGTCACTTCTGACTGAAATGAACAATTCAGATAATTTGGAGCAGGGTCCATTAAATAGATGTAAATGTTTTACATACGGTAGATAATTCCCTTGGCATTTTTGAGGAAACAGTTTTAGCGCTGGCAGGTAGCTAGAGGGAGACTAAGACCAAAGAAGATTTAAATTTCTGATCTAACCTTTTAAAGGATTTCATCTGAGCGCTATTACAAACCTTCTTTAGATGAGCGTTTGTTTACCTTAAAGGCAGTGTTGGTAGGCCGTCAAAAAGAAGTATTTGAAATACTTTTTGCAAATTATAGCATGCTTACAGTTTTGTGTTGCAAAAATAGGCATAATCAGCAGCACTCACTTGATCTTTTAATCCCAGTTTTGCAATTTGCATTTCAAATGGGAAAATAATTGCCAGACTTTCCGACATTATCGCACACAAACACGATAAAGACTTGGTAGTCATAAAAATGGCTGACATTCTTGAGATTGGAGTTGTTTTAACTTGGCACAAGTCCCATCTTTGGCATTATTTTTGCTCTCATTAGCTTGGAAATCTTGTTAACTTGGGGGTTGGGATGTTTTTATTTTTAACCAAAGTATAATCGCTTATCTGTTTCTTGCAAGATATTTCACTTCTTGTAATGTCTGAATGGTGATGGTATGCTACTAAGTTCTAAACCTTTTTTTTTCATTTTCCTAAAATATTTTTACAATACTTAAATTATAGCTGCCAGATATAACCTAATTATGCAAGTAAATACTCATTTACTCAACTCTGAAGCTTGAAACCCAACTAGAAACCCAACACTCTTAGTTTTCCACCCTCTTAGTCGCAGTTCAAGTATATTTAATAGTGAGTGATAAAAATCTGGACTCTCAACAAGTTGAGAAAAGAGCCTGTGTTAAACAGAAAATGAGAGCAAGCATTTGAAAATGGTCCCCAGCATTTAACCTAAACAAATATATGCAATATTATATACTGGATGTTTGCAGCAGTGCTACTGGTCTGGCTTGTTAATGGTGACTTCTTGTGCCATACTTCTTTTACTCTCTTATCGGCTTTCCTGCTGCATTACTGAGGTCTCGTGGTTTATGCACTGTATCATAGAGAATGTTTTGACTTCAATATATCCGGTCCTGTTTAGCTTTTATTATGCACATGCTCATTGTTATGCATGGCATTTTGGACTGTTCTGCAATATCCTGGGGTCGACCTTTAACCTTTTTGTAACAGCTGGATTTTATACTCTGGCAAAGGGATTGTGTTAACGTATTTCATCATGAAGTGTAAGGTGAACCTGAACATTTTTGCAAAGGGGATGGACAATGTGTGCATGAAGTGTCAAATGTAAAAATGATCTGCTTTTAAGAATGAAGTTTTGTTTTTTTACTACTATGATGGGAGCAAGATTTTGAGATCATGTATAATGTTGCAACATTAAGCCTTTAAGTGTTTCATATGGGGGTAAAAAACAAAACATGTTTGCCATTTAAAAAAAAAAAACATTTTGTAAATGGAAGAATGGCAATTTGTGACATGTGTCTTTTAAACCGTTCAACCGAACCCCTTTAATTTGCTTCATTGCTGACGCTGTGACTTTTGCCGCATAATGCTTATGTAATGTTGTGTAAAGTTTACACAGGGTGATTTCTCTCCGGGTCACTTTGAACCCATCCATCATGCAATGTTGTGGTTTACGTCGGTGCTTTCTGTCAACTCTCTACACACATTTTAAAAATAAAAACGAGCCTTTCAATTCACCGTCACCAAAGTGTTTTGTTTTCTTAAAGTTTGAAACTGAGATCACAATTTTGAAAAAAAAAGTCTTAAAATCTGTTGCGGTCCATCTGTCGTCATCAAGTTTATATAGGTCACTCTAGCAAAATAGCAATTCAAAGTACTTTACATAATAAAAGTTTATCACCAAAATATTACATTGCAGTGATGAAATAAAAAAAACTAAGAAAAAGTTGCATAATGATCCAGTTGGTAATCAAATGCCAACTGGATATTGGACAGCAATACTTTACTCTGAACACGAGGTACTGAAACTCAAAGTTTCTGTATTTATTTATTTTTTTCAGCTTTCTGGACTTTAGTTCCAGGTTAGTTTTGCATTAAAACTGAATTCTGCTTCCCCATGTCTGATTCAGATTCTGTGGATGCAGAGAAGATGACATGCACAGGCCTCAGTGATTAAAAAACTTCTTAATGTATTGTGGTGCATTCGGTTGTTTGCAAACTAACAGAAGTGATTTTAAAGTTTATTCTTTGAGCTACAGTGAGCCAAGTTTAGGTCAGTAGGACAGAGGTGGCGTGCCCAATTTTCCTAGTTTTAGTAGAATGTGAGCAGCAGAGTTCTGGATCAGCTGATTTTTATTTTTATGTTTTTAAGTCAATTTGACTGAAGATGAACACGTGGATTGGTTTCTCTAGATCTAATCCTTTAATCCTGGAAATGTAAGTCAGGTGATAGAAGGCTGACTTTGTAACTGTCTTTATGTGTTTCTGAATGTTCAGGTTTGACTCCATCACCACATCCAAATTTTGGTTTTGAGCTCTAGTTTCTAGTTGTAATGACCAAAGATGTGAGTTTACTCTAGATCATTCCTCTTTCTATACAAAACTGATTACTTCACATTGGTTTTTATTTTCCAAGTATCCGTTCCGTGTCTGACCGGGTTCATTGTCACCTGGGAATATTGCAACATAAAGCTCTGCATCCGTGTCATTATGGTAACTATTATTTGTTAATCTGAGCCAGCGGGAGAACGTAAATATTAAAGAGAAGGAGCCAGAGGATCGAACCTTCCCCTTTGTTTCAATAAAATACCATTGGACAGCAATACTTTACAGCAGGCATGAACTGCTTTACTGAAATTTGTCCTTTTTACATCAGCCCACGTCCTTTTTGCAGGATTTCTCTAACAATGATCTTGGGAGAGTTCAACCCCAATCACCATCCTGTTGACTGAGAGATGAGCAGTTTGCATACAGCCCTGCTTGTCACAGTTCAAGTTTTAAACTTTTTAATATTTCTTTTTGTACACATTAGTGGCATAAAAACTCGTTTTGTTTGCCTTCCTTGAAAGCCATGTTCTCATGCCTCTTACATTTTGAAGAATAGATGAGACAAACAAACATGCGCTAATTAAACGTTGAGTCAGAAAGCGTAAATTACAAACTTTCTTCAGTTAACATTTATTTCAAAGGGATCGTTAGAACTATAAAACAGGTAATTTAGTAAAAACAGGGTTCTTTTTTAGAGCATTTGCTTTCCTCCTACTTCACAGATGTAGCCACAATCAAAACCCCAACTCACCACATAAACAAGATGAACATTTTAATAAATAGCACTTTTAGTAGCAACAGTCATTAAAAGAAAGAAAAAACAAAACAAGCAGTAAAATACCTAGAACAATATACACGTTTCAACCAAAAAAATACATTAAGATTGGTACATAAAATTTAATTGTTAAGTTAAATTGTAGTTATTTTACAAGACGATCGCATAAGTTAGAACAAATATGCCTTTTTAAAAAAATTACAAAACAAAACCGAGAAGTGACTTATTATGGAGCCACCCTTTAAGGGAATGTATGTCCTATCGGCTCAGAGACACGTTTACGTTTTTGTCATATTTACACAAAATCCCAGACAAAGACAAAAAAAAAAAAAAAGAAGAAAGGAGTCTACTTTAGGGCAGGAAGTATTCTCCTTGGGATGACGACCTACAACTACAACCAGGTCTAAATGTCCTCAGGTGTCCCCCTTTCAGATGTAATTGTTGTTGGGCTCAATCCGGTTCACCACGGACGAAACTAGCCGCTCCATCTGCTCCGCTCGCTGCTTGCCCGTCTGAAGGACTTCCTCGTGGTTGGCCTTCTCCTCGCTGTCGTAGTCCATCACCGCCAGGTTGGTGATCAAAGACAGGGCGACCACACGCATGCCGCAGTGGCGGGCGACGATCACTTCGTGGACGGTGCTCATACCTGATGATGATAATTGAAAATGAGCTTATTGGTTGGAAACCATGAGGCGATTGTAATCTGTTTATGGGAAAGCTTTCACAAAGTTAAGGTGAAACTGTACACCTGTCTAAAAGACTCTCATCTGCCCTTCCCTCCTGGAAATTGGGAAGTGTGATGACATTTATCATCTACTTTGAGACGATATCTTTTTATGTAGCTCAACTATCAGCAACGTTGCTTGAACCAGAACAATTGAAGTTTATCAAGCTCTACAGACACTACTCCAATAAAACTCCCATGGAAGTCCGGAGAATTCCCAAACTGAAGCGTTTGTCCCGACTAGAGTGCCCTTAGTCCAACTCCAACAATCACTCAGGTGATTGTGGAAGTTAGTCACCTTTATTGGTGCCGTATCACCATCATTATCATTCATAAATATCTACTCACCAACCGCATCAACGCCTAGCAAGTGGAGCATTCGGCACTCTGCGATCGTCTCGAATGACGGGCCACTCAGCACGCAGTACACTCCCTCCTTCAAGAAGTCTCCGTACCCCAGCTCCTGTCCTACTTCCATGGCCAGCTGCTGCAGGTCTCGGTCGTAGGCGTCAGACATGCAGGGGAACCGCACGCCAAACCTGCGAAGGGGAGGGAAAAAAGGTGCGCTGGTGAATAACAACAGTCTGCAAACAATGCAGTGGCGAGTTGGTAGATGTAGGAGAGTTGTGGTTACCTTTCATCGTTGGGTCCAACCAGTGGATTGTTGCCGGCGAACCCTGGCAGGTTGATGTGGTCTTTGATGATCATGATGTCGCCCACTTTGAAGTCTTGGTTCAGGCCTCCGGCTGCGTTGGTGATTACCACCGTCTGGACGCCAAGCAGCTTGAAAATGCGCATAGGCAGAGTGATCTGGGAAAAAACAAAAGCAAAACACAAACCTCGGTTTAAAGTTGGCTTGGATGCTTTTTGATCCAGATTCTACAAGAGATCCAGATTGGAGCAGGAACAAACTTACCTTCTGGATCGAATAGCCTTCGTAGAGGTGGAAGCGGCCCTGCATGCAGACACAGGGTTTTCCCTTCATGGTGCCGAACACCAGCCTTCCCGCATGTCCGTGCACTAAGGAGAAACCACAACCGGTCTGTAAATATCCAGCGGCACATGGCGGTCGGTGGCCCGTCTGAGGGGGTTTCGAGTGACTTGGCTCACCGGTGCTCTGAGGGAAGTTGGGGATGTCCTTGTAGTTGAAGGCCACCTGGTCCTTTAACAGATCGGCCAGCCCTCCGAGGCCTGAGCCGCACACGATGCCCACCGTGGGGCGCATGTCCGTCTGCGCCAGCAGCCAGTCAGCAGTGGCCTGGCAGTCCTCATAACTCAAACTGGATGGGGTTGGCACAAAAAAAAAAAAGGTCAAAGATTAGCATGACGAATGAGCGTGAAGTCGACCAATGAAGGAAAATTGCAGGTTGACGCTGAAGGTTGAATCTGAGTGAAGCTATTTGTAAATTCTGACCTTTTATGCTGTTGCTCACATCAGATCCACTGGGTAAAACGTTACAACTAATTTTCTTATTACATATCAAATATCTGCTTAAAATAAAAATACCACTAAATTCTAACCTCGAGTATTTTTATGTCTTTGTGACTTCACTGGAGATAAAATTAAATGCATTAAATGTCTATAAACTTGTAATTTCTTTGGCCTTGAACACATAAGTGCATGTCTGTCTCGGTGCCATCCCCCCACTGCCTCTGACCATGCCCACACATTCCTGAACCCTATTTTTTGCTCCCCACCATGTGTCCAGAAAGGACCCACATGTCCAGCACACACACACACACACAAATATATATATATATATATATATATATATATATATATATATATATATATATATATATATATATATATAATTTTTTTTATTTTTATGATCACTCACCCCCTTGTTTGTACTTGAAACATTTCGGACGATTTTAATTTTGGTGAGATAAAAAGTGACTGTGAGCTCCAAAAAAAGTTGATGAATAATCGGTGAATCTTCGGTGTTTGAAAGTTTCCTCCAGCCTCGCGATCCCCTGGATGAAGTCTGTAGGTCTGTCCTGTTCCTGAGCAGAAGGTTTCCCTCCCCGGGTTTATATCACAGACAGACAGAGCGACTCCTCCCACGCCGTGAATCACGCCTGAAGAAGCTGCGGCGTCATTGGTCGAATAGACAAGCCTTCAAAATAATGCACACTTGCAAAAAAGAGAGAGAGAGAAAAGAAATCGACCCTTAAAAAATGTCCATCTTGGTTCCCCTTTCAGCAGGAGCGCCAGCAGAAACGCCGTTAACAGGAAGTCCTTTCGCAACTTTCACCTTGGTAATGATCAATCGGGTCTTTATCGATTAACTGTGCAGTCGCTTTTTCTCCGATGCGGAACAAGATAAGCCTGGAGGACTCAGCATGACATGGGAAATATTTTGTTTTTCAGCAACACGTGGTTTCTGATTCATGAACGTGTTGTGAAAACATTTAGTGCTTTATCACACAAGTGTTTTGTGGGACCATTTATTGACATTTTCCCCACTTTCAACACGCAAATAAAACACATTTTCTTCATGATAATCTGATATTTGTGATTGTGTTGTGTTTGCATGTTTATGTGCTGCCTTACTTATCAGTGAGGACAGATTCACTGATTGAACAAATATGTGTTGATAAAAATGTAAATAATAATAATGCATTGATATTCTGAATGGCTCTAAAACAACAAATGAATTAATTTAAAGTTTTCTTGATGTCATGCCTTGATTGCGGCTGTCTTATAAAAACACACAAGATGAGGATTTTTGTTGTATACTTGTTTTACAAAAACTGATCTTGAACATATGAATGAATGCGAATTCATCACCATGATGATCTGCACCAGCGATCTGTGACTTTTATTATAATCTTTATGAGCCAACTTACATTTGTATGTCTTTTTTTAGTTGATGTCTTTCTAATTACTTAATTTTTTTACTATTTGCAACTAATCGACATATAACCATTCCGCATAATCCTCACAAAGCTAAATATTGATTATATAATCATTTTCTCTTGTTTTTTTCACCATGTAATGTTGGAATAGAATAGAAAAATCCCTTATTGTCTCACAATGGGAGACAATTCTGTGCAACCGCAGCAAAGTGACCCACACAAAGACAGAATATAACAAAAATGAAGAATCAAATATTCTATAGTAAGGACAACATTTCAACATAAATATAAAAATGTTTAAAACTTAGGCTCCCTGATGGAGGACAGAACGACATTTAAAGATTTTAAACAGATGATAATAAAGTTGCTCCAACACTCAGATCTATAATAAAATGACTCACATCATCATAAGCAGGGGAAACAAGAGCGGCTTCCTTCATTAACATTGAAACCATCATAATATCTCTCTGGAGCAGATAAAGCATCGGCACAATGTGTATTTATGATGTTTTCTGCGCTGAGAGACAACATTGTGCAAGGCGCTTAGCATTGTAATGTGTATTTTACTCATCTGTTGCCAGTAAGCGTTCAGCTATGTGTTCAAGAAACTTCCTGCTTCAAATCGGCAAAACAAATAAATTGCAAGCCATGAAGCCATAAAATGTGTGAAGGAACGTTGTAAACCTTTTTGCGGTGACTGCCACTCGGTCGGTCAGCGTGTCCTTTATCTGATTTACAGTTATGAATAGAAATACAACAGGAGACACTTTTAGTGCGGGAAGGAAGAAACGAAGGAGCTTGGAAGTTGTTGTGCCATGTGAGTTGACAGTCTGCTTGGGGAGTACGAGTAAAATATTGTGAACTTTAACTGTATTTCTTTCATCAGTGTAATTTTTAAAACATTTGCATGCTGAGATGCCTCTCGGAGAGGTTTCACTTGGCAGGTGTCATAGCTTTTCAGAAGTTTACCACAATATGCACTTGGGGTAAACGTGTGAAAAGCTAAACGACTCTAAGGTGAAACCATCATCTGGAGTTCTCTCCTGCTGAGCTTTAAAGGTTTCTGTTGCTTCTTCCCGTTCCCTGCATTCGATGGCAAGATAAGCTCTGCGATTTTCTGGTCTGACTGTAGATATGGGGACATTTCTTTAAAGCGTTCTTTTCTTGTAGCTGTTTGACTTCCAAAGGTCACAACACATTTATCTCAAGGAAACAGGAAGTAATGGAAACCAACTGGAAGTTCAGAAAATACTCAAATGAATAAAAAAGGAACTACAAAAAGAAAAAGAAAAAAAATGCTACAACTGCTTTGAAACGAATGCCTTCAAACTGAGGGTTAGACAAAAACAACAACAACAAAATCTCAATACAGGATGAAATAAAAGATGAATTTTGTCGAGGTCTTCAACACGTCTTTCCTGGGATCACTTTAGTTTGACAGCCCGAGTTACGTTTCGTGTCGCAAAACCTCTGTTTGCTGCAGTTTGCAGATTACGTGACGCTTAAGACGAGAAGACTTGATGGAATGATGCGTGACAGCGATGCAGCCCTGTGAAATGGCAGAAGAAACTTTTTACATCATATGGTGAGTTCATGACCATCAGTTGACGGATGCATTCGTCACTGGCTCGCCTCGGGGAATGCGTCGCTAAAGGGCGAGTTAGAGACACACCAAGACGTGGTGAAACGTGCTGAAATCATCCAGCGGGTTGAAATAAGACTCAAAGCAAATGGTTAAGTCGATCTTTATTGTCGGTAAATGGCACTGATGCGGCGTATGAAGGACTCAAGCAATGGTGAGCAAATGCGCCACTGTCAAAGGTTGGATAGCTGCCTATTGCGCTGCTGTGAAGTTTAAATTATCTCAAATTTTAATGGTATGTTACATACCTACCCACAGCTAGTCTCTATCACAACGCTTAATCGGACAGAAGTCACATGTGGTGTACCTCAAGGTTGAATCCTTGGGCCCCTCCTGTTTAATAAATACAAACTCCAACTGGGTCAGGTTATATAAGAAGTAATACAATTAGTTACCATAACTATGCGCATGATGCACAGCTCAGCGTTACAGTGTCATCAGGTGACTCTGATCACATTCAAATACTGGACAGAAAGAAAACATCAATGTGTGAAGGTGTCACAACTTTCTCCAGCTGAACAAAAACAAAACTCAAGTTATTATCGTTGGACAGGAAGTGATTACAGCCAGAAACTACCAATCAGGCCGAAGATCTGGGTGTGGGGACGGACTCTGACCTGAACCTTCAGAGACACATAAAGACAGTGACAAAGTCGGCCTTCTATCACCTGAAGAATATTTACAGGATTAAATAACTAATGTTCCAGCTTGATCTAGAGAAACTAATCCATGCGTTTATTTTTAGTGACTTAATGTCTGATTCCTTATATGTCTGCCTGAGAGAAAACCAATCAAACAGCTGCAGCTGATCCAGAGAACGCCGCCCGCGTTTTCACTAGAACCAGGAGGACAGAGCACATCAGCCCAGTTTTATAGTTTCTGCATTCCCAGAACCAGAACCAAACATGGAGCAGCAACATTCAGCTTTTATGAGCCACAAATCTGGAACGAACTCCCAGAAAACTACAAAACAGCCAAAATGCTGAGGCTAACCCCTTTAAACAGAGAGCTGCCCCTCTGTTTAAAGTTGCCTTTAATTAATTGCTGGATCAATATATTCAATATATTTCAGAACTGGCTGCAGTATTACCTTTTTATGCTGTAAAGCTGAACTGTGCTATGCAAATAAACTTGACCTGTTTGACCTATGGCTTCCGTGTATCTTCTGTTATTCCTGTGGAAAGTTGATAACTCTCACCTGATAACACGCAAAGTTCTTTGACTTGATGACCTCTTCGCTCCTCCCCAGGTAAAGCAAACACGCCTCCGGCTCAGCCAATCAGTCGGGGCCATCTGACCAGCAATCAGAAGTTTCACCCAACCTCTGAATGACGCGGCAGTAAAAAATGACCCCACGGCGACTGACAGGACGAAACGGGAAAATCTGCAAGTCAACATCCAGTTAGAAATGTTTGTTTTCATTTTGAATGCTTCACAAGCTGAAGGATGAAGCGTCAGATGAAAACATTGTTTAACACACACTGTTAGCGTTGCTTGACCTCACATAGCTTGACCTGACACGCTGCTGATCATGCCTCTACCTCAACAACAGATTCAAAGCAGCAAACCGATTGGTTTCAGGGCAGCTCCTTGGCAGCGGCTCGCACATTCTCTTTCCCCACAATCAGAAAGGACTTTGGCATTGCAGTTCAAAACTAGTGGTAACCCTTTAAGTTATCGTTTTGCCTAAATTTTTGATAGAAATAAACAACGTGAGATTATGCTGACAGCCAAACATGGCAGCGGTAGTGTGATGTTCATGTCCTTTGCAAAATGTTAAAATCAGGTGCAAACCACATCCAACACAAATCTGC